CAAGCAAAGGGGAATCAATCACCAATGTTCCTGACAGTGGACGAGGAGAATTACTTGTATGCCTGGGCCAACTCCTTTTCTCCTTCCCCAGGTACCTCAAGACAATAACTAAATAAAAACAAGGCCTGGGACTTGTCCAGACTTGCCCAAGAATGGAAAAGCTATAGCCTTAGTCCACCCCTGCCAGCCCTAACCAATTAGAAATGTACTAATATGATTGGCACTTGCATAAGCCAATCCTAGGTAGAATGATCACACTGCTTTTAGAATTCCTTTAGTTGTCTATAAAAGAGCCTGCAAGCTTTTCTTGGGGGTCTTTGTGTTTGTGTTGGATGTGTGCGGTCATATCATGCTGGTACCTTTTTTCTCGAGAAAGTAAATGCTCTTGTTGATTGCATCATATCTGGTGGTCTTTTATGGGACGTCTCGTGGACCCTAACACAGGTGTCCATAGGCATGTGGGTTTATGTCTGGGTCTTCAGTTTCATTCCATTGATAAACATGTCTGTGTTTGTGTCAATACCATGCTGTTTTTATTACCTTAGCTCTATAGTATAACTTGAAATTGAGGGTGGTGATACCTCCTGCAGCTTTCTTAGTATTCAGGATTGTTTTAGCTGTTTTTCCACATGAAGCTGAAAATTGCCCTTTCAAGCTCTGTAAAGAATTGTGTTGGAATTTTGATGGGGATTGCATTGAATCAGTAGATTACTTTTGGTAGGATGGCCATTTTTACATATTAATCTTATCGATCCATGTACATAGGATTTCATCTTCTGATATTTTCATTTCCTTTCTCCAGTGTCTTAAACTTTAGTTTTTTTGTTTTGTTTTGTTTTTAGTTTTTTGAGACAGGGTTTCTCTGTTTAGCTTTGGAGCCTGTCATGGAACTCGCTCTGTAGACCAAGCTGACCTCGAACTCACAGAGATCCGCCTGGCTCTGCCTCCCGAGTGCTGGGATTAAAGGTGTGCACCACCACTGCCCAGCCTTGTTTTGAAGTTTTTAATCATACAAGTTTTTTTCACTTGCTTGGTTAGAGTAATATCATTTGAAGCTATTGTGAAAGATGTTTCCCTGGTTTCTTTCTCAGCCTGTTTGTCATTGTATATGGGAGAGCTGTTGATTTTTGTGAGTTAATTTTGTATCAAGCTACTTTGCTAAAAAAAAAAAAAAATTATCAGCTATGAGTTTCCCAGTGGAATTTTTGTTTTGTTTTAGTTTTTGTTTTTTTGAGACAGGGTTTCTCTAGTAGTTTTAGTGCCTGTCCTGGATCTCGCTCTGTGGACCCGGCTAGCCTCGAACTCACAGGGATCCGCCTGGCTCTGCCTCCCGAGTGCTGGAATTAAATGCATGCGCCACCACCGCCCGGTCCCAGTGGACTTTTTAAGGTCATTATCATATCGTCTGCAAATAAAGATACTTTGACTTCCTCCTTTGCAGTTTGTCTCCCCTGAGCTCCTTCACTTGTCTTGTTGCTCTAGTTAAATCTTGAAGTACCATGTTGAATAGGTATGGAGAGAGTGGACCACCTTGTCTTGTTCCTGATTTAGTGGAATTGCTTTGAGTTTCTCTCCACTTAGTTAATGTTGACTATGGGCTTGCTGTAAACTGCCCTTATGTTGAGGTGTGTCCCTTGTATCCATGATCTCTCTAGGACTTTTATCAGGAAGGAGCGCTTGCCTTTTCTGTGAGATGATCATGTGTTTTTTTGTCTTTCAGTTTGTTTACATGGTGGAGTACATTAATCAATTTACAGCATTTCTCTGTGTAGCCCTGGCTGTCCTGGAACTTACTCTGTAGCCCAGGCTGGCCTCAAGCTCAGAGATCCGCCTGCCTCTGCCTCCCCAGTGCTGGGATTAAAGGCGTGTGTCACCACCACCTGGCATAGTTAACCTCTTAGGGTTGCAATTTTCCTGCTAGGGCCTTCTGTAGGGCTGGGTTTATAGATAGAAAATTGCTTACATTTGGTTTTTGGCTTTCTCCATCTACTGTGATGGAAAATTTTGCTGGGTATAATAGTCTGGGCTGCTGTCTGTGGTCTTCTGGAGTCTGTTGTACTTTATATGTTATTTGATCTTTTTCTCTTCAGTTTTTAATATTTTCTGTTCTGTATACTTAGTGTTCTGATTAGTATGTGCCAAGGGGATTTTCTTTTCTGGTCCAGTCTATTTGGTGTTCTGTAAGCTTCTTGTGTCTTGATAGGCACCTCCTTCTTTAGGTTAAGGAAATTTTCTTCTATGATTTTGTTGAAAATACTTTCTGTGCTTTTGACATGGGTTTCTTCTCCTTCCTCTATTCTTATTATTTGTAGATTTGATCTTTTCATAGTGGTCTAGATTTCCTGGATTAACATTTTCTTTCACTGAGGTATCCATTTCTTCTGTCATGTCTTCAACACCTGAGATTCTCTCTTCCACTCTTGTATTTTGTTGCAAGGCTTGCCTCTGAAATTCCTGTTCAAATTCCTAAATTTTTCATTGCCATATTTCCCTCAGTTTGGGTTTTCTTTATTGATTCTTTTTCCATTTTCTGGTCTTGAACTATTTTTGTTTCTCATTTTCTCCCATTGTTTGTATTTTCATAGATTTAAGGGATATATTAATTTCCTCTTCAAGGACCTCTATCATATTCACAGAGGCTATTTTAAGGTCTTTTTCTTGTGCTTCAGCTGTGTTGAAATATTCAGGGCCTGCTGTGGTAGGGTTGCTGGGCTCTAGTGGAAATGTGTCCTGTGTTACTGTGTTTTTACACAGATGTCTAGGCATTTGGGATTGGAAAGGTTATCATTCTAGGTGCTGATATCTGGTCTTGTCTTTGTAGGGTGGATGTTTGTTCTTGGTTTCTGTTGCCCTCTCTAGTTCTTAGGGGAGTGTTGGCCTCTTCTCAGATCCTGATTAGGTGTGGCCATTGGTGGTTCCAGGTAAAATGTGTTTATAGGTATTGGGAGCTGACACTTAGGAATGGAGATGGGGTGGGGGTGGGGTGGGGTGAGGGAGTCCACAGGAGGGAGGAAAGCAGGGTGTTCCACCAAGGTCTCTTTAGACCCCTGGGAATGGGGACAGAGTGTGGTGATAATATTGTGTACCCTAATAAAAGTTACCAGAAGATCAGTGAGACAGACAAGCCACTAGATTAAACATAGAAGCCAGACAGTAGTGGCACACACCTTTAATCCTAGCACTCGGGAGGCAGAGATCCATCTGGATCTCTGAGTTCAAAGCCACCTTGGACTATATGAGATTTACTCAAGTCTAGGAGAGAAACAGCCAGGCAGTGGTGGCAGACACCTTTAATCCCAGCACTAGGAAGATTGAGACAGGAAATGACATGGCTGGGCAGAGAAAGGAATATAAGGCGGGAGGAGACAGTCTGTCAGCTGAGGAGAGCTTTTCAGGCTGAGGAGTCCTAGAGGTAAGAGTTGGCTTGTTCCTTTGTCTCCCTGATCTTTCAGCATTCACTCCAATATCAGGCTCTTGGTTTTTTATTAAAAGACTGTTTAGAATTTGTGTTACAACAGAGAATGAGGAGAAGCCACAACAGGTCTGCTACAGAGCTGGGAATGAGACTGGGGGATTGGATTTGCAAGAATGGAGGGGGAGATGAAGCTCTGCCCTGAGCTACTTGCTTCCATTAGAGTAGCCTATGGGTTCCCAGGGAGTGCCCGCTGGGAAGGTGGGATAAAGCACTGAGTGGGGGGAGAGGGGGCTAGGAGGGGAAGATCTGTGTGATCCACTGGAGATGGGGGAGCTGTTCTGCTGCAGAGCTGGGGATGAGACTGGGGGATTGGGTTTGGAGGAGCTGAGGGACTGGAGTGCATACCTGGCATTTTTTAATGTGGCTTCTGGGAATGAACTCAGGTCTTTACGCTTGCCCAGCAAGTACTTTACTGAGCCATCTCCTCAGCCCTTGCCAGGGTTTTCACAGCAAAGTTTTCCTTAATTACAAAGAAAATACATGTCAGCATGTATTTTCCTTCTATAGTACAATGATTACTATGGGGCTCGGGGCTCCTATTCAGACAGAGACCGTCTGACGTAAAGGTTGGCTTCATGCTGAAAAAGCCAGCCAGTCTCCCTGAATTGTTTTTGGTCATGTGCTAATGCTGCATGTATGCACCTCTGATTTCCCAGAGAAACTGTTTTAAAATTTCCTGTTTAGATAAAGTGTACATATAAGGGTGGATAAATAGTATAAACCAAGAAAAGGTAAAATTTTGATGGAAAAACATTGCCCTTAACCAGGTAAAATTTGCAAGACAGAATTCATCTATATATGTCACTGACTATGTCTGTATTTTGTTAACACAGATTAGAAAGCCAGAAAACCATTTCCTGAACACACGACCTGGCAAATCAAATGCAAAAGCACTGACCGGCTCTCCCCTCCGACAGGGGCTGCCTGGCTTCCCAGCAGCCACCTAGGAAAGCTCGTTAAACTGCTGCTGCTTCCCTGATGGGCTGTGCCAGCAGGTTTACTGCGAACAGTGAGCAGTTACAAAGCTCAGGGAAGCCATTGCTCTTTGCTTGTGCTGAGGTTAGCTATAGACAGTTTTATGTCACTAGGTGAGCAGAGGCATGTCTTTTGTTTCTCTGATGGTGGACTTGACACTTGGGTACACTTTGATTTACCAAGCAAAATGGAACCCAACACCTTTTATCCATATGTGTGCTTGCCACCAGGGGTGCCCGACCTTTTGACATTGTGACATGACATTTGTCTGCTACCGTGCAGGACCGCATTCACAGCTATTCTGGGATCTTACTGCTCACGAGCTGTAGGTTGGACGCACCTACTCTACACGGTTCCCACATGCGGATGATACTGATTTCTGCTCGTCTGCAAGGGTGTGAAATGCTGACGTGATTCCACTGGGGTTTCTAATTTAAGTACTGACCGTGACTGTCCAAATGGCCACAGTTCAACAGTCTGGAGAATTTCTTCCATGGACGCACATGGACGCACATACACACACACACCCCTGAAATGATTAGTGAAGGGCTTATGTTAAGCAGATAGATTTATTAAAAATAATGCTAATATAATCCCGGAGCACACTGATTTCAAGAGGGTCTTTGCAACAGTTTTCATCATAATCACTTATCAACTAAATAACAACGGTTAACTTAACTTATAGAATCGCTAAATAACAGAGGAAAAGAAAGGACCAGGCTAATCCAGTAGAGACTGAGATGGCCTTGATATCCCCTAGACATCTGTCCAGCTGGCAGCCATGGGCAAAGCTGGTCTCTAGAGGGTTAATCAGGGCCCAAAGTGATCTTTGCAATGAACTCCTCCTGCACCTGCCAAGGCTCCAAAAGGCTTGGGAGCCAGAAGGAAAGCAGGAACAGTATCCTATACTGTTCCAGCTGTTGTCAATGACTAAAGGCCAGTTAAAGATTTTCATGTTTGCTATTTCAAAATGCTAGTTTTAAAAAACGTCACTAGCAATGTGTGTCGTTTCCCCTCCGCGTCTCTTAAACTCGAACACCCAGTGTCGAAACACTCGCGGGGGAACCAGAGAGAGGAAGAGGGGAGAAGACTGTGGCAGATGCTGGTACTGCTGAGGGGCTGTGGATGCCGGCTGTGGCGGCACTAAATCCCCCAGTAAGGCATCAGGTGTCGGGACTCCTTCTCATAAACGTCTGGAATGACGCCATAGGGTGTCTGTACCATCTTAACCGTCGACTTCCCAAAGAGCTGGCTCTCGTAGTCTATCAGCTGCCTCCAGAAGCCCACGTTGGGCCTGATGACAGGCCTCCGGGCTTTCACCCAGTTGTATGCCTCCAACAGGCACACATTGTGGAACTTCATCAGGTACGCAATACACAGAGTGGCCGAGCGGCTCACCCCTGCGGCACAGTGCACCAAGGTAGCCCCATGCTTCTTGCTGACGCTGTGGATCTTGTCTGCCACGGTGTCAAAGTACAGCCTAATGGGGGCATGAGGAATGTCAGCCAGAGGCACTTTAACATACTCAAACTGGGGCCAGTTGAAGTTGGGGATCTCGATGGTAGCGTTAACGATGCAGGTGATGCCCCGGGCCTGGAGGAGGTGCCTGTTGGAGGCCACACTGCCTCTGCCCAAGAAGAGAGAGGAGGTGATCTGAGCAATGCCTCCTATGTCTCCCTCGGAAATCATCCGAGGGGCCATGAGAGTCCGTGGGAGCGTGCTGTGACCTCTGGAGCTCATGAAGACGCCGGTAGTCACACTTTCTTCATCAGGGGGCAAGACCAGAGAATGGTGGAGTCCGTCCTCCACCGGGGAATTCAAGACTGCAGCCTCCTTCCTGCAAGATACAGGTCTCTGTCAGAACTTTACACGGTATTCGTTTACCACGGCTGCCCCCAGTGCTTGAGGGAAGGGGGAGAATTAGGAAGCTATTTTCTAAGGCAGAGTGCATTCTTTGTAGGAAGTATATATAAATCATTTTCTATTGACTATTAGGAAATGTAGCCTGCGATGCCAATATGTAAAAATCAATATAAAACTAAGCTGCCTTTTTTTTTTTAAGCCCTAAATAGTCACCCTATTTTTAGGAAAGTTAAAGACAGAAAACATGCCTAACTGGTTCCTGAAGAGCCATCTGGCAGAATCCTCCTGAAGGAGGGGCATGCCTTGATTTCTCAGTCTTGGGATCAAACCCAGACTCAAGCTGGCTAGGCAAGCACCTCATCACTAAGTTGCCGTCCAGGTCCAGAAATCCGAAATGTAGTTCTCCAGAGCCCCAGCATCATGTGCTCCTCACCCCATGTTTTCCTAAACCATTCTAGACATGGAGACCTTGTGAAGAAGGTGTAGGAAAGAGATGCCACATCAGACAAGGTAGGTAATAAACTGCCTTCGTGGAACAACAAAACTAGCAACAATAAAAAAGCCAAGCCACCTTCCCTCTTTACTGTTTAAAAATCCTTTTTTTATATTTACTTCTTGTGTGGGGTGTCTGTCTGTGTGTATAGATGAGGGGCATGTGGAGGTCAGAGGACAACTTGGGGGGGTCAGTTCTCTCCTTCCACCACAGGGGTTTCAGGGATCGAACTCAGGTCCATCAGGCTTGGCAACAAGCTCCTTTACCTGCTGAGCCATCTCGCCGGCCCCAAGACGCCTATTTCTTAGAATTTTTATAATACATGAATACTTTGGAAGTCCGATTAAATTTGGGTCAACTACTGTGGCCTTCCCATGAAAATAATCCCAGGCAATTTGAAGGCACAGTCGTGTGTGTGTGTGTGTTTGTATGTATACAGTGCTGGAGAGAAGCAGGGCCTGCCTCAAACATGCTAATAAGTACCAAGAGAGTTAGACCCTCAGCTTTAAAGGTCATGCGTGGTCTTCAAATTTTATTACTGTCAATCAGCTAAATGGGAATTTATCTGAGCTGACCCTGGGTAATGTAAATAATAACCTTGTCTTCCTCTGCCAATTCTAAGCTCCCAGGTGAATTTTACTGGGTCCAGGGATGTGCTGGAATTAACATTAAATTTAGTTCAGTATCTGAAGTCTGTGTTTTCTCATTAGTAAAGTGTTTATTATAAAATATCCGTGTATATTTGTAACAACAGAAGAGGAAATTATTGAGCTGGGCATGGTAGCATATGCCAGGCAGGGGACTGCTAGTCCCAGGCCAGCCTGTGCTACTCAGGGAGACCATGTCTCAAGAAGGAAAAGATAATTATTGTAATTTGGTTTCCTGAGATTGCAGACATACCACTCTCTCACTGCCAAACCAACATGGTTCATACTTGGTGCATCCTGACAAGTGTGTAACAGCAGCCTGGTGCCATGGGAAACCGGGGTGCTCAGCCAGACAAACATCCCAGCTCATGTAGTGGCATCACCATGGTACTCACGTGCTGAGGAGCCCAGTGAGCCGGAGCCCTTGGTCTGGATCCAGACGGTCTTAGGTCAACAGTGGTTACAGTGTATACAAATCAGATCTGTAAGAAGACAAAGATGTAGCCAGTCAGGAAGTCCCCTGCCATTCCTCCTGGGTTCTTGCTGCTAAAATCAAATTTGGGATGAATCTTGAAAGCAGCGGTCTGCTGGACATTTTTGGTGTGACTGAAGGAATATACCAGCTAAGTCTCAGAGACATAAGCCCATAGTCTGCAAGCACTAGCTACAGTTTTGGCCATGACAGAGACAAAGGTAATTCAGGGACCACATCACATGATACCACTAAAGGCGTCACAGAGTGCTCTCCCGGCCTCTGTAAGACTGAGCCACAGCCTCTTGGCACCTGCTGTCACCCCAGGAGCATGAAGACCTGAAGTCACAGCAGGAAGAGCAGGTGGCAAGATAAGCTATGATGCGGGGCACAGAAGTGCAAGGTGGGGTGGGGTGGAGTTAGCGCTGTCTTCATACGTGGGTCCAGGACAGCGTCACAGCAGGGGCGGGGCCAGCTGTTGTTGGGCCACGGCCAGCAGCGCCAACAGCTGGCCCCGCTGTTCAGGAGAGCAAGCTGAAAGTTCACCCTCTTCCCCATTCGAGCCTTTGTCCATTCCGTAGCCCGACAAGCACCATGACCGTCTCCAGAAGGGGCTTCCCTCCCACGCAGATCCCCCGCCTCACCCTGATAAATGTCACACTTACGTGTTCAGTTACAGCTTGGCTCACATGTACATGATGTGTAAACTGACATAACCACTAAATGTGCCAATTGATAGTTTTGACACAGACACTCCAGACATAGGACCTTCAAAATAATCAATACCTACTCATCCTACTCAACATCCTCACGTTCCTTTATAATCCATTCATCTTTGCCCTCCACCCTCGTCTTACTTTTTGGGTTTTGAGTGTGGGGGTGTGTGTGACGGAGAGGGGGAGAGAGAGAGAGAGAGTGAGAGGGAGAGAGAGAGGGAGAGGGAGAGGGAGAGAGAGAGGGAGAGGGAGAGAGAGAGAGAGAGAGAGAGAGAGGGAATATCTTACTCAGCAGCCTTAGCTGACTACCAGCCTAAGCCTTGAACCACCTATGTAGCCTAGGCTGGTCTCAAAACTCTCCATCCTCCTGCCTCGGTCTCTTGAGTACCGAGATGACATGCATGGGCCACCACACTTATCTCTGAAGTTGTCTGTAAGAGTCCTGTAAATTTGGGGTTGTCTGGCTTCTCTGAGCATGGTAGGAGATTCATCAGCGATGCTGGGCATATCTCCATTTTTACTGCTGAGTAGTACTCTGCAGGGTAAATACACCATGTGCTTTCTTTATCTGCTCACCTACTGATGAGTACTGGATTGTTTCCGGCTTAAGGCTGTGTGGTGAGTAAAGCACGACAAAGGTTCAGGGCCAGACCTCTGCATGCACAAGTGCCCTCCCTTGGTTAAATACCTAGGAGTAAAGACTATTTCATGGTATGGAGGTTTAACACTTTCAGACAGTTTTGAAAGCTGGGCACGGTGAGGCAAACCCACAATCCCAGCACTAGGAAGCTAGGGCAGAAGGATCACAAATTCAAGGACAGCCTGAGCCACACAGCGAGACCTTGTCTCCACGGCAAACAACAAAAGAAAAGAGAATATAATAAAGTAATTTAAAAGAAAAATTAGGGGCTGGGATTTAGTTCTATAGTAGAGTGCTTGCCTGGCATGTGTGAGTCCTTGGATCCACCCCAGCAAACCGAAAAAAAAAAATTAAAAAAAAAAAAAAAAGCAGTTCTGAGGGGCTGGAGAGATGGCTTAGCAGTTAAGAGCACTGACTGCTCTTCTAGAGGATCCAGGTTCAATTCCCAGCAACCATGTAGCAGCTACATGTCTCTAACTCCCAAGATCTAACACCCCTCACACAGACATCCATGCAGGCAGAATACCAATGCACATAAAATAAAAATAAATTATTTTAAAAAAATTAGTTCTGTGGCTGGCAAGGTGGTTTAGCAGGTAAAGGGGCTTTCTACTGAGCCGGAGGACCTGAGTTCCTTCCCCGGAACCCACATGGTAGGTTGTTGTCCTCTGACCTCCACACATGAGCTGTGGTGTTAGTTAACAACATAAAAACACCACGGGAAACTAGACAGATGGTTCAGCAGTTAAGAGCTCCACGCCCTGCTCTTGCAAGGGATTAGGGTGCAGTTCCAGTACCCACAAGGCAGCTCACAAACCTGACTCCAGTTCTAAGAGGGATATGATGCCCTCTTCTGACCACTGTGGGCACCAGGCCTGCACACACACAGTGCATTCATACATACATACATACATACATACATACATACGTACGTACAATTACCATCATCCAGGCAGGCAATAGTACAAATAATCATACATATAAGTGGCTCATGCCTGTAATCACAGCACTTGGAGGTGGAGGCAGGAAGACCAGGAGTTCAAGATCATCCTCAGCTTTGTAGCAACCCAGGGGCCAGCCTGGGTTCCATGAGACCTTATACTATCCCAAAGTCAGGTTCGGTTTTGTCACAGTGCAGTGACTTTCCGATCAGAATCCCCTGGGAGGTTTGTTAGGACTCAGACCACTGGCCCCCCAGTTGCTGTGTTTCTGAGCAGGACTGGAGAACCTGAATTTCCCAGGTGCTGCTGCGTGCGTGTGTCGGGCAGTCTGAGAACCGCTGAAGCAGTGGGGGCCACGTGGTACTACCCAGGACACCCCGTTAAGGCTGAGATGCTCACAATGCTGCCCCTCCTTGGAGCTCCACACCAAGAGCTGGGCCATGCCACAGGGGTCTGCAGAGAACTACAGGTACAAGAGCATCCTGCAGAGGCAGAGGAAGTGATGAAGTAAGGAGATGTATGTGTTGGGTGTAAAAGGTGTGTAGGCCAGCAGCTTGTGAGGTCTTCCCCCGGCAGAATTCTAAAGAACAAAAGTCACTGTGGCAATAAATGCCAAACTCAAAGCACTGAGGACTCTACTCAGATTTCCACGTGGCTATCTCATTGCCTAGTTAGGAGGGACTCAGCCTGTGTTCTCCCCAATAATCCTGCCATCCGGGAGGCTACCAGCCCTCCTGAGCTGGGTGCCCAGGCTGGAGGCCTTTTCCGTAAGATGGTCTTCCAGGGTCCCGAGCTGTGCAGAGGCAGGCTGGAGGCCAGGCCTCACCTGTTACTGCTCATGCGCTCAGCGTGGACTGGGAGGACAGATTGTGCGCCCTCCAGGCAGAATCCAAGCAAGGCAGACACGACGCTCCGTTCCAGTCCTGTGCCAGCAAACCTGCTCCAAAACGCCAAAGCTGGCTACAAGGTTTAGAAAAACACCTTCTGCCAGCGAGTGCTCAGAAGGCAGGTACGGCAGACGCTTCTCTGACAAGTTCCCTTGCCCCTTACAGGCTTGAAAACACAAGTTTATGTCGGGCGGGGTGATTGCGACTTGGAGAAGGCAAAGCCAGGAAAGCTAAAAAAAAGCAGCCTCGAGCTCTGCACCCACACTGCTACTCTGTGGGACTGTGTGGGACGCTATGTCCTCCCCACCCGTGTCACAGTGTCCTGAAGGCAGCAGCCAGGGAGGACCCCTTTAAACACTGACAGACAAGCCTGAGCCGAGACGGGCTAAGCTCCTCCTGCTTGTCACCTAGTGTCCAGAACAGAGGACTGCCACAGCCTGCACACCCCCCAGGGCGCAGAACCCTCCTCACGGCCTAAGGACATAAGGAGCTGTCCCTGGGTGGGCATAAGCAGCCCCGTTTGACCCAGTTCTAAGAATGGCAGACCCTAACCATAAAGAATATAAAAGCCCACAAGTATTACATCTTAGGCACATAAAATCAACTTAGCAGATGTGTGCTGGGAGACAGACGGGAAGTCTGTCCCGTGTGTGCAGGATCGAGGACCGCCCCAGGGCCGAGTGAGCAGGACCCTCCACTGTTGCACACTGGCCTATAGGAGCCTCCACGATGCTGACCGTGGTGTCCACCTCAGCCTTCCCAAGCTGCGGTGCAGCTGTATTTTCTTCTTGGAGGGAAAAAATGGTTCCTGACCAAGGTAACGGTAACAGCACACCAGAGGCGTGAAAGCAGAGCTGTCCCAGAACAAACACAGAAGGTGTGTCTTTGACTCACGCTTTCAATTCCAGCACTTGGAGGCAGAGCAGACAGGTCTCTGAGTTCAAGGCCAGCCTGGTCTACATAGCAAGTTCAGATCAGCCATAGCACACTATCTCAAAACAAAACAGAAAAATCAGGTGTAAGGATGTCTGGGATGCCAGGCACAGTGGATGCCTATAATGCAGCACTCAGGAGGAGCCACAGAAGGACAGCAGCAAGTTCAGAAACAGCCAGGGCAACCTACTGACGCCCTGGCCTCAGAATAACAAGCATCAAGCGCTAGGAACCAACCAAGTTAGTGTCAATGTCTCGCAGGGGCCTATCTGTAATCTTAGTAACACACCAGCTAGTAACAGCTGCCCTTGCTCCTGGCGCGCACAGCTCTGGGCATGTAGAATTGTCCTGTGGTTACACACTGGTAATCCACACCCGGATCAGTGCCAATGTGGCTGAGAGCGGCTGGGAGTCCCGGCCCGTTCAGAGCATCCACACGAGTATCACCAACGCTGCCCTTCCTTCTTAATGCTGACAGCCACTAGACTCAGCAGTTAAAGGAGTAAAGATCCTAGCCGCTGTTTGTTTTTTCTCATGTTGAAAATGCAGAAAGTGGCCACCCTGGTGCAGGAGAGCTAGAGAGACCTGCCAAATGGTTTAAAATACTCCTAGCTGGGACCATGGGGTGAGTTGGGGTGTGTGTGTGTGTGTGTGTGTGTGTGTGTACACATATACGTGTGTATACTATACATGTTATATACATTATATATACGTTATATATGTGTACATATACCTATATATCATATACATAATATATATGAAGTTCTGTCACTTAGGCTGACAATGCTCCCCACAAGAACCATATTCTACAAAACGGGTACCAATCACAAGAAATCTTTTAAGTTGTAGGTCAGGGTCCAAATGACTCCAAAAAAACAATACAGACTCCTGAT